CATATAATGTTCAATTGTCTTAAAATGCATATCTGTCACTTGTAGTTTGCAGAAGCTTTTACAAACTGTTCTTGTTCCGGAAGCTGAAGAAGAGACTGTAACACTTTTAAGAGAGACTAAGAACTTGTTTTTTTACTGTTGTTTTTAAAATAATATAAATATATATAAATAGAAAATGGAGATGCAAGATATAGCCTACTGTCATTTAGCTTGTAACTGATCCTTTTTTGCTTCTCTTGTAAGTAGGGATGTTACTGTAGCCCAGTATTAAACGAGCCCTGGGGCTAAACTACGAAATTGATTAATTCAGTTTCTTTTGTAGGCTATTATTTACCTCAATACTACTGTTAGACCTTAGTTAGTAGGCTAAAAAAAGGTTCTTTATTGGCATCAATGGAGAATGAAGAACCCTGAACATCCATCTTTAATTGGTGAGGTCCAGTAATTTGTCCTCACAAGTGGGTTGACATATTATTTCACTATATAAATGGGGGCATTTGCCCTCATAAGTATAGTAAAACAAGTACACACACACATACACAACTGGTCAAAAGTTTGGAATCTTTAATTTTTTTAAATGTTTTTTAAAGAAGTTTGTTGTGCTCATCATTCACCAATGATCCATTTATTTGATCAAAAATACCATAATATTCAGTAATGTTATGAAATATTATTATAATTTAAAATAGCTGTTTTCTATGTGAATGCATTGTAAAGTGTAATTGATTGCTGTGATCAAAGCTGAATTTTCAGCATCAAACTCCAGTCTTCAGTGTCACATGATCCTTCAGAAATCATTCTAATATGCTGATATAATGCTCAAGAAAACATTTCTGATTATTATCAATGTTGAAACAGGTGTGCTGCTTCATAATTTTGTGTACACTATTGTTTACAAGATTTCAGCTAGTGCTGTCAAACGATTAGTCGCGATTAATCACATCCAAAATAAAAGTTTTTGTTTACATAATATATGTATGTGTTCTGTGTATATTTATTATGTATAAATAAATACACACACATGCAGGTATATATTTCAGAAAAATATGTTATTTTCATATATTAAATATATTTATTTATAATATAAATTATATGAATAT